TGGCAGCAGAGGCAACAGGCAGCTGCCACTGGGCTTCCAGTGACATGGGGGAGTGGAGCCGCAAAACCAAACTGGGCTTCACGGGGGGAAAAATGATGCTGTTCTGTGTACAAAGGAGGTCATGTTTCTGTCTCGCGGAGGTGAAACCTGCGGAGGGGGGATGGATCTATGTGTATGTTCCCAGAATTATCATGGGCTCCGCCATGGCAATACTGCTGCGTTTTTGCCTGGGTTAAGCCAAGAATCGTTTGGATACCAAAGGGAGAAGTTGGTGCAGCAGAGGTCGCCTGGCCTTCTGAAACCACTTCAGAGGAGTTGCTCTGCAGTCAGCAGAGAAGGGGAGAGCCTTGAAAACTGTCGCTGAAGGTTCCAAAGTAAAAATAGCATTGACTTTTTTTGGGAAAATTAATACATCTCTGTAGTGTTTCTTTTTAAACAAAACCAGGTTTTAGCAAATCAACATAAATGAAAGCATGTAAACAAACCAAAAGTGAATTTTAAAACCAAGACCTATGATTCTATCACCACCAAAAACAGGCATGAAAAATGTGAGGCATGAACTGTGCATTGAAGTTCTGCTCCAGAAGCCCCTGTAGTCCTAATAATGGTGTAGTTTCACAAACTCCTGAAAAATAAATTTCACCAATTTTCTTTCTTTCATAAAGAAGAATGAAAGATCAAAGTGAGAAGAATATTCAGATTCACAGAAGAACAAAGTGTATTACTGTATTATAAGAAACTATGACGCTTATCTACTGCTATCTGGAGAGCAGCCCTGCAGAAAGGGATCTGGGGCTGCTGGTCAGCAGCAGACTCAATACAGTGATGAGGTAATCACACCATACATATCAATCATACCACACCTCAATAGCAGTGTGCCCTGGCACCCTAGAGGGCAAACCCCATCCTGGGGTGCATCAAACACAGCATAACCAGCTGGTCAAGAGAGGTGGTTATCCTGCTGTATGCAGCACTGGTGCGGCCTCACCTTGGGTACTGTGTGCAGCTCTGGGCTCCATTTAAGAAGGATGTGAAGGTCCTTAAATGCATCCAGAAGAGGAGAACAAAGCTGGTGAAAGGACTGGAAGGAATGTCCTATGAGGAGTAGCTGAGGTCTCTAGGTGTGTCTAGCTTGGAGAAAGGGAGGCTGAGGGGCCAACTCATTGCTCTCTACAGCTTTCCTGAGGAGGGGAAGTGGAGAGGGGGGTGCTGATCTCTTCTCCCTGGGATCCAGTGATAGGACGTGTGGGAATGGTTCAAAGCTGCACGAGGGGAGGTTTAGACTGGACATTAGGAAGCATTTCTTTACTGAGAGGGTGGTCAAACACTGCAACAGGCTTCCTAGAGAGATGGTTGATGCCCCAAGGCTGTCAGTGTTTGAGGCATTCGGAGAATGCCCTGAACAATATGCTTTAACTTTGTCAGCCCTGAATTGGTCAGGCGGTTGGACCAGATGATCATTGTAGGTTCTTTCCAACTGAAATAATCTATTCTATTCTATTCTATCCTACCCTACTTAACAAATAATATCATGCCAGTTAGCCTTCACATTATGTATTTGTAAACTGACTGGAAGTTAATAAAACCCATAGTTTTATTTAGTGAATAGTGTTCTGTATCTACACTGACTAAATCAAATTCACCTTTGGTCGGTT